TGCCAGGCGGAGGGTGGGGTGGGCAGCTGGAGCCATGCGGGGCTGCGAGGGCAGGATAACCGGGGGAAATGAGAGAGCTGGGAGGAAAAGGCAAAGTCCCTCTGAAGGCCTCTCTGGAGAGCACTTGGGCAGCAGGCTGGGCTGGAGCAGGCGGCTTTCAACTCTGATGGAACTGGGAAGGGGAAGCTGGGAAGTTCCCTGAGAGGACAAAAATCAGGCAAAAAGAAGTGACAGCAAAGGGAGGGGGAGAGAGGTTTTGCAGGAGCAGTTGGGCCATTGCAGCCAGGACCCCGCTCGACTCACACTGCTGTGTGGCTCCTGCTGGTGAGTCCCAAGGCCATGAAGGCCATCCCAGGGAGGACAGCATGGCTGCTCCCACGGGAACCACTCCAGGTATTTTCCCAGCCAGCAAATCTACCATTTAAAAAACAAGGAGGAAGTACCATGGGGGTGTCTGAACAGGGAATGTGCTTACAGCCCCTGAAGACCACAGGACATACGATGATGTTTGCTTCTTTCCATAAAAATACATGGCTGCTTTATTTGTGAAGAGGATTTCTGGACATAAGAGTGAAGCAATTTGTTTTACATTTAAGTAGTGGCTGAGGTGGTGTCTGCAACTATGAAAAAGTTGTTCCAGTTGATACTGCATGTTGAAGTCAGTCTTCCAAAATCAGTATGTTTTGTCAACAATGAATAAATTGTAGCTGGGAAGGTAACTTTGCAGATTGAGTTGCATTGGTGACAGGGGAAAATTCATTTCAATATGAATAATACAGACCATTTATACTGGATTTTTAAGTTGCTGCCCTATAATTTTGTTTCTCAAAAAAGTGGAAATATTTCTTGTTTAGTTTATAAGGATTATGAAAGATTAAAAAACATGTAGGAAAGGTGTTTTCAGTGCTCTGAAATGACAACTGGTACTTGAGTACAGATATAGTTATGTTTTTGTTTCTATATAGATACAGTAAATTTCTTTACAAGCTGAATTAGCTCCACTTTATTCACTGTTAAGTAGCTGAAAGTTGCTTTGTATAACTCAGTGAGATGCAAGAGCATCTTCCAGAAATACAGTGAGGCATCACACAACCCTCACCCGTTTCAAAGGGAATATAATATTTTGGTGACTTATTAACTACTTGTGACGCCACTTTCAGAGATTCTTTTTGTGGCTAGGTAAGACGGCTAGACACAGCATGTCACCATGTTCGATGTGCATTAGAAAAGCTTCAAGTCTTTATTTGCTGTTTTTGTCATACCTGGAAATAAGTCAGTTTTGAAATGATATGCAGCCATGGGGCCAGCAACTCATTCCTACTATTGTCATAATGCTGGTGTAACTATATATTGATTTTTAAGAGATCCTGTTTTGCTCAAGGCTGTGATGGACATCGCAGCTCTTTTCCTTCATTACACATCATTGTTCAGTGGACTGAAGGTGGAGATGAGATGTTGTGTACTATATTCATTAAATAGCCTGAGATACATATAGAAAAATTAAGCGGTTGCATGTTTTTTACATCAGCCTGGCTGCAGAGGCAGCTGAGCAGGTGACTGTGGGAGGGTTGCTCACCTTGTTTGCCCTTGTCCTGTGGGAGTTGGTATCAAGTGCTAAAGGAAAAGTGGCAGCCAGGCATGGTGACTCACCAATTCATAACTTCTTCCTCCCTAGTGAGGCAGAGCCTGTGATTCAGGGAGTAGTTGGGTGAATTAAATCTCGAGCCTGCTGTGGAACTGCATGGCTAATCTGTGCTCTTTTCACTTTTATTTGTTATATACCACCTGAGTAAGGCTGTAAGGCTTAGGCAGCAATCCTGTCTGGAAGTGACGAGGAAAAATTTGGAATTTGAACTCTGTTTATGTTTGACTAAACACCCCCAACACCCCCCCCAATAGTAACAGAATCTCTAATGATAGCGGGGGGGGTGGGGGCAGGTGGGAAAGAGGAAAGAATGGAAAAGGATGGAAAGGAAAGCAGAGCCATTATGTTCTTATTATCTATAGTGTGAAAAAAAAGACTTGTTCTTGCTTCCTCAGCCAGAATCTCCTCCTTTCATTCCTCATGTCTGTAATCTTGTTGTTGTGTGGCAGATCTCCACTGTGCATATATTCCTGGGCATCCCGTTCTGCTGTGTAGTAAGAGCAAAATATTATTATTACATAGGTTCAGTTGTAAATGTTTCCTGCTGTATCCTGTAGCATCAGACTATTTGCTGTTAGGCATGCGAAAGGTGACCCTGCTGTCTTGTTTTCAAAGTGGTCTGACAATACTGTTTCATTAGAAGCCAGGGAATATTTTGGGATGACGTGAGTACAGTGCCTAATTAGCCTTTTGCTTTTAAGCCTAGAAAATCTGACTCTGATTTCTGTACAAGTGTTTGCTATGTTACCTGCAGAGCATGGAGACTGAGGCAGTGGAGAGTCAGCCACGATTATGCCAGCCTGGCACAGTATTTCACAGTGTTATGGATGTGAAACCCTTCATGCAAGGAGCTAACAGCAGGGGCTTTGTGGTCCTTCAGAGCAGTGGGTCACTGATGCAGATTTAGGAGCTGTGCGGGAGGGAATAGGAAGATGGCTGTGGATTGCACGCTGGTTCGTGTGGCTTGTGTGCTTATTTGTGCACCAGGTTTACACCTCTGTGTGCAATTTCAATAGCTTCTATTTCCTGTCCATGTGAACATGCCTGGCCCCAAGCTGCATTACTGTTCCTTGTCCATCTTAGCGGGACATCTTTCTTTTCTGCTGAACAGGACGAGAATGGGGACGGAGCCAGGGAGCTGAAGAATATGAAGTCAGATCGCATGAATGTGCTACAGATGGATGTGTGCAGTGACCAGGAGGTGGCTCGGGCTGTGGATTTTGTGAAGAGGTCCCTGAAGGAGCCAGAGAAAGGTATGTGGAGATCTTTGAATTTCCAGTACAACTGGCTTTTTGTAGTGCTCACAGAACGCTTCCGACAGAGCAGGCCATGCACTGGTCGTTCCCTCTCTGCACCACCAAAAGAGGGTTAATGAGCCTGGAGGCCTGTGACAGTGTGTGGCTGGCAGTCAGGCACTGCTGTACCCCGCTCAGTGAGGAGAATTGTCTTGCTGTTGATGTGCCAGCCACATGGAAAGAGACCAAGACTGGCTGGAGGATTAGGCTCTAACTCTACATCCCATAAAAAGTGATGAGTGGCAGCAAGCCCACAGGAGCCTGTGTCTTTTTCCTTGAGTGTCTGTGAAGGGCATAGGATGGCCAGAGCCTGATCCCCTCCTGGTGCTCCTGCTGCAGCCTGGCTCACACAGACCTTTCTGTAGTGACGCTGCTAGTGAAGCGGTGATGGGCACTGGCTGCTTATTGCTGTTCCCTCTGCTGTGCTGGTACAACCTGTTGGTGTAACTGAGTGCTGAGCTGGAGCACAAAACTGACCTGCCCCCAAACCTGGATTATTCTTCAGCGAGGTCAATCCATGCTTTCAGTTTGCCATGCAACATCCAAGAGGTGACGTGAGGCAGGATCCAGGGTGGGCTTGGCATAGACCACTGTAATCCATATGCCACCTTAAATGCAAGTCCAGCTCATGGACCCTAAGAGCATGTGAAAGAAGATAGAAGTCCCTTCTGCATGTTTCTTTCCTTCTTGGAAGTGGTTTGGCAGTGGGATGTGAGCTTATAGTTGGAGCCTGGTGTGACACCACCTAAACTCTTCCCATGTGGTGAAGTTGTGAGGCTTCTTGCCCTGCATAGGTTTATCTGCAGCCTCTGTGCAAGTAGCAAGCTGGACAGCAGCTGTAGGCCCAGGCTGAGGGTGGACTGAAGTTTCACATCTGTGGCTCCAGGACTTAAGGGCCGTGTGGTTGGAGGGTAGTTGCTCCTCTTGAAGCTTGGATGAGACTGCCATGGGTGTGTCTTTGTTCACAGCAAGTATAAAGCTAGTAAATAACAATAGCTCTAATCTTCATGCAAATTAAGTGAGCACACCCTTCCTCCTAAAACAAGCATATGAAATGTAACCGAGTTACGTACAAGCTCTGATCCCACACATGTTCTCTTGCATGATTTTTCTTCCTACACAATCACCCAGCCCTCGTCACACATTTCACAGCTTCTAAAGCTTTTCCTGAAGAACTCAGCAACAGCAGTGGTGGCACAGAGCCATCTCCCACTGAGTGAAAGCTTGTAAGGGAACAGCTCTTTTGCTTCTATAAATGCAGCAGTGTTTGCAAAGCCGTGTGTGTAGCAGGGACAGAGAAGTCTTGCAACCTTGATCAGCAAGTAGGACCGGTTCCTCCTGCTCTTGAGGGCCTTATCCTGTAGTTGTTTGCTCCAGCATAGCGTGCAAAGCAACAAAGGCTTCTTTTTAGGCCCATCAGTGTGACTGAGGTTTGGGGTTTGCCAATAAATAGTGCTCAATAAATAAGTGCTGGAACATAGACACTATTGAGACTGAAGTGCCTTGCACAGAGGTGTGGCCCCAGAGGAGCTAGCGCAGAACAGTTCTTGCGCTGTACATTTATACCTCTTCTCCCTGTGCTGTGTACATAAGGCTAAACTCATTTCAATAGGAGTGCCTGTTTGTTTTCAATCTTATGCAGTTCCCACTGTGTTGTTGACACTAAAGAAATAATGGTGATAAGGCTCTGCTCAATAAACACACCACTGTCCAGCAAACAGCCCTGTGACCAGGTACCTATCAGCACTTTGTTCTATAAGTAACATGACCTGATCGGTGAGCAATGAAATTCCAGGAAAGAACTATTGTAAATAATGTTTTCATGGATGTCCCTGAGTCTTACCTTGTAACCCAAGAAATGGGAAATTGTTGTAGAGAAATTAAGAATCAGGAGTATTCTGCAGAGGTCAGTTTGGGACTAACAGTGTAAGTCTCTTGTGGTCTTTGGTAAATCCCTGCCAAATTTGCTCTGCATAGCTTCTTGTTACTGGTGAGATTACACCATCAGATGCCCTGTTTCCACGGTCCTCCTGCTAGCGATTAGAGCCTGCTTTGCAGCAGCGCAGGGGATCCCATTGAGGCTGAGATGCTGTGCTATCTGCCAGATGCGTGTGAATTTCAGAGTTATCTTGACCCATTAAAGCTGGGAGCTTCAGTACGTACAGCAGGGACAGGCAGGAGATCTTGGGCAGAGCAGGAGTAAAACTACCTGACTGCAACATTTAGAAACTTGAATTAATAGAAACAGAAATAGGGATAGGTGAGCAAGATGTTTTCTTGGCTTTTCCTGCAGGCCACTACTTAGCTGTTATCCCAAACAGCCCCTGGGGCTGTTGTGGCCCAGTGGGGATTGGGAAAGGGTTTTTCTGGCAGAGGATAGATCTGCAGGCCAGTCAACTGGAGCAATATTCACCACCGTCTGTCAGAGACAGGTGTGCAGGGCAAAAGGGATGCTGGGATCACCGTGTGAGAGCTGGGAGATGTGGGAATGGTGGCAGCTATAATAGGCAAATCCGTTCTGGGACAGAGCATGAGGGAATTGTTAATGCATTGTTATCACTGGGTAGGACATGACCTTCTCTGGTCTGCTATACACGGCTGGTCAACAGCATTCATGGAAACCTAACTTAGCTGGGAATGGGGCAGGGTTACTAGGACCAGTGTGAGAGTAGAAAGCCAATCTAGCAAGGGCATGTTGGTGTTTTTAAATGCACCAGGAGGATAAATTCCATTGGTATTTATTGGGCAATGGTAGAATATTGCAATTTGCTTAGAGGCCTGTCTTCGGTACAATACATGGTTACTATCTGACCATGAATAAATACAGGCTGGAAGTTATTTAAAGACTTTCATACGTCAGGGCAGGGAGGCTATGGAGCAGAGGCAGGGCAAACAGCCAAAAAAATTTTGAGAGAGAGCTTGGTAAGCTTTATCAACAGGGTGGCATGATGTGGGTGCTTTTGATAGCAATGTCAGAGCTCCCTGGACATGAAGACTCCTTCTTAGCCCTGTGTTTGTTCTTGGTGGTAATAGGAAGGTCAGGGAGTAGAAAGGGGCCCCGACTCCAACTGAGTACTTAGACGTGAAAAATAACCATGGTGTATGGTAGGACATCTAATGAGGAGCAACTCTGTTATCTTGTTCCAGCTCTTCTGTTTGTTCTTTCTGCAGTTTATGGCTGCATAGTCCTGTGCTTCAACAAATTCACAAAGTACAGACTCAGTCCTACAAATGTTTGCCACTGGGACTCATGCAGTAATCACTTTGAAGGGTCAAGTCCCCAGTGACCTGCTAAGTCCTGGACATGTAAGGCTCAGTGCAGAAGCTCTTGATAAGTCCAGTCAATTTAATTTTGACAGGACTGCATGCACAAAAGATGTTCATTTTTAAATTCTAGTAGTTTTAAGGATTGGTTGTAAGTTTGCCATCTTCTGCTATAGTTAGGGTTGAGGGAAACCAAATACCTGGGCTAAAATACAGCAGCTGTTAACTGGGCCATGAACTTGCAGATCAATAGCATGCACTCTCCAAAACAGTGAGTCAGAGTTGTGAAGGGGATTTAGAAATCCAAGATATTTGTTTTCCTTCCTTTTTTTTTTTTTTAATTGAGGGAAAGTCCAGCCCCCTCCAAATTGCAAAAGCCATGATAAAGTCACTGAGTGAAGACAAACCTGGGACTGACAGGAGGCATAAAAGAGGGTCAGCCAGATCCAGCCGTACAAAGCCCCAAGGCGGCATTTGACCTTAGAGGAGACATTCAGGGAGGCAATGCTTGTGTGACCCCATCACTCTCCCTGATGTTCCAAACAAGCCCCACTGGCTTCACTTCTGGTATACCATTTCATCTCCTTGCTGGGTTTTTCTCTACAACTTTTTTCTACAAAAGTGCCCAGTTCTTTGTCAAGGGGTTGGGTTACTTTGAACAACAAGGAAGGCTTCTTCTCTGCGACACTCTTCCTCATTCCACTCTTTAACCATGTGTTTGTTGGCAGGTCTGTGGGGCCTGGTGAACAATGCTGGCGTCTCGACCTTTGGAGAGGTGGAATTTGCAAGTTTAGACAACTACAAGAAGGTGGCAGAGATCAACCTGTGGGGCACCGTGAGGGTGACGAAAGCTTTCCTGCCCCTCATTCGCAGAGCTAAAGGTACATGCTGGGCAGTGTGGCAAGACTCAGAGAGAGCTTTTGCAGCACAGCAAAGAGATGTAGCTAAAAATCATGACCCAGACTGTGCTTCGAGGAATGCCTGTGCAGTCCAAGGAGGGTATCTGAGGCATGCAGGCAAACTAGACAGCAGGGTTCAACATGCTGTGTAAGCATTTGGTAGTACAGGCCACTCTTGGGGCAGTCGGGGCACCTACACAGCAGGTGCTATCTTAAACATCCCAGGATATCAGAGACCTTCGTGCAGCGCTGGCAGATATGACACAGGACTCCAGGCCACCTTTAGGAAAAGTGACTGGAGGCCAGACGAGATAATCCTGGCCTCCAGAGTCCACCAAGTGCTTATGTTTGGATAACTGAATCTTCTCCCTTCATGGTATTCAATTCACAGGTGATTGCAGAGTGGTAGTGGTGGAATGAATGAGAGTCAATAACAGCCATTTTAGATATCTTACAAGACAACAGTATTATCAAAAGTCTTTGTTTTATATTAAAAAAAAAAGATACGTATGAGCAGAACTCTGAAGAGCTTCTTTATTTAGCATGTGTGGGAGAATGCTGGAACAGCTGTGTGTTCTGTGAGGACAGAAAGTAGTTATGTTGAGAAGATTGCTCAGATACCATTTCCAGAAAGCAAGTACCCGCTAAACAAGCCCCATCTCACTACAAAAGGTAGCTTAGCCATCAGGTCAGCAGGTGGTTCTCACAGTCCCTCCAAGCTGCACTTAGGTCTGGAATGAAAAGAGCAGAGCTGCCCACTTGTTTCTCAGCTGAAATTTCAAGCTGCAGAAGGGTGTCATGCTCCACAGCTGTGAAAATCCTCTCTGTAAAAATAGCTGGTGAGATTTCAAGGGCCTGTTTGTAAGTGCATCTGAAACCACAATTGCACACATCTTGTCTTGGGGAAGGACGGAGCCACCCACAGAGGAGTGACCACTGCTGTCACTGCCCATAGGCAGTGCATGATCTAACAGAAGCTGCCAGAGCTCTGCAATCGGGCTGGCATGGGCTGCTGGTAAGAGTTAGGATAATTGCTCTTTGCTGCCCCATAGACAGCAGCACGTCAAGTCTCCTCTCTCTTTGTCCCAGGCACGTAGCACTCAAGGCACTACTGGCCAGGCTGTGCTGCTCATGCTGCAGGTTCAGAGAAACCTCTACTGGTTCTCTGCCATCCAGCTTGGGTCTAGAAGCATGTAGCTGTGTTATGCAGATTGGCTGCAGATGAGCTGTTGTGCTTACAGAAAGAACCAGAACGTTTGTATGGCATCATGCTGTGTTGTGTGCTTTCCAGCTCGTAACACTGCTAGCTGGGACCTAGCTTCTCTAGCAAGACGCAGGAGTGGGGCACACTGATGTGAGAGCACACAGCTAGTAGCCTCAGAAGATCTGGGTGCTTCACTAGGAAATTAGGAGGGAAATGTCTTGTATGCTTTGTAAATCCTTTTTAATACAGAGGCAGGCATGTGTATCATCCTCCATGGAGGAGGTCAGAGCAGGGGCTAGCCTTGCTTGAGTCAGGAGGGAAAGGCTCCTTGACAGGGGATTTGGATGCTTTTCCAAGATTCAGGGTTTACAGATCAGCATCATCCAACAAAACACCTTTTTACTGGGATGTTCTGGCTGCTTCTTCTGCAGCCCATCATCTCTCCCCGCTCTTTTCTCTCTAGGCCGTGTGGTGAATACCACAAGCATGTTGGGACGGATGGTGAGTCCATCTCGCTCCTGCTATTGCATTTCCAAGTTTGGGGTGGCAGCCTTCTCCGACTGCCTCCGGCAGGAGATGTACCGCTGGGATGTCAGAGTCATCCTCATTGAGCCTAGTAACTTCGTGGCAGCAACAGGCATCCTGACAGCAGACAGCATCGACAAACAGGCTGAGGCACTGTGGAGTGGAGCCAGCGACACTGTGCGGGAGGACTATGGGAGGGAGTATTTCACTCGCCATGTGGCCCTGATGAAGTCCTTTGTTAACAGTGGCCTGAAGGACATGTCTCTGGTCTTGAATGACATCACCGATGCACTCACTTCCCCGTGCCCGAACAACCGTTACAATCCCATGGAGCCCTACTGGTGGGTGAGGCTGCAAGTCATGACTCACCTGCCCACTGCCATTGCCGACTGGCTTTACATCCCCGGAGCCACCCTGTAAACGGCCGTCCTTCAGGCATCCTTCCAGTGCTCGTACATACGCACAGGTTAGAGCTGACTTAGCCAGGGCTGTTCTGCACCCATTGCTGATGCATCTCGCCTGTAGATACGTGTGCTTTCACTTTGAGTTATGGCTTCAAGTCTTTGTTGTGGGATGCTGAGAACAGCATGGCTTTTTCGGTTTTTTTCCTAATTCTTGCTCTTTGTATTCCTTGCTGTCCTGATTAAAGTTGAAAGGTGTTTTCCTTTTAACTGTGGAGGAGGCAGAGGAAGGTTAACATATTGGGTCAAATATGTGGCTGGTGTAATTAGGTCAGCAGAGTTCCCCCAGTGATAAATTTGGCTCATTAATGGGCTCTTGCTCTTCCTTTCAAGGACAGGCTGCTAATAGCAGAGCAAAACTGTTGCTATGAGATGTCTCGAAGGGAGAAACTAAAATGGGAAACAAGCAGAGTTTTCCATTTGATTGAAAATGAGTCAGTCACAGCCTTCCATTGATTTCGTGATAGTGCTAGTAAGCTCTGCTGCACTGTGACTGTCTGCTCTTTCCAGGAAAACAGCAAAACTGCCTCTAAACAGCCTCATTACCTAGCTCAGGGGGGTCAAATCCCTGCAAAGAAGGGTTCATCCCTCCTGGCACTGTGGCCAGGAGGTGCCAGAGCCAGCAACTGTGGACAGGCTGGGCAGAGAAAAGCCCTTTTAATAATGAGAGAGGTCTGAGCCATCCCTCAGTCACTCCCTGTGGATGCTGGGGCTTGCAGCCTCTCTCCACCCACTGCTGATGAGCTTTGTGGGACAGGGTTGGATCTGATGTAGGAAACAAATTTGGCCCTCTGACTGCTGCCTTAGGTACTGGTGCTTGAACTACTCAACTGTGGTACAGACACTGTCCAGCCAAGCCCCTGCTTCCCTCATGTCACTGTCCTATGCTAGGCTCCCTCTTGCTGGTGAGGGAGCTCCTCTTGCTTTCCCAAATCAGTTTTTTGGTTTTATCCTCTCTGCACTTGAACAGTGACGGGGCACTGAGCAGCCAGTGTGGCCTGACTATGACCTCTGGAAGGGTGCTTTAAGTGACACATTTCTTTTTTTTTAATATCGCACAATGAAATTTCCATGTCACACATGATTGTCTCCTCAGAGAACCTCCTCATAACTGATACATGAGCTACTTTTGCATAGTATCCCCAAGGGTGTCTTCTGTTGGCCGTATACAGGGATTTCAATCATTTTTCCAAGTGCTGGGGCTGCCTGGCTTCATGCTCCGTTCCCTCTGTCCCAGTGGTGACCACTAGCAGAGCAGCCAGCAGGCTGCGGGCGCTGCTGGCCAGGCTGTGACCCTACCATCTTACTCTAGGGACCAGCTTTCCCTTCCACTGCTAAACTTTGTTCTGTTTTGTCCTATGTGAGATTAAGTGGCTATGAAAAGAGCTTATCGTTTGCTCTTTCTTCATCTGTCTCTGCTAGCTCTGACTTGGAAACTGTGCCATAAACTTTTTATATGCTGCTTGCATAAATGCTTGGAGTCTGCATGCAGCCGTGATGCCTGAGGAGGAAAGCGGGCTTCCCTTGGAGATGCTGTGGAGGTAGCTTGTATTACAAGTAATAACTACTGGAAATGCTGGCCGTGCAGTTCTTTTCTGTTCCAGATCATCGGCACATGGAGATTGCCTGGGATCCAGGACCCAGAATGATCCCACTGAACTGCAGCTTAAGCGGTGTTGTAATCACTTCTGCCCCCTGCACTGTGAAATGTGAGTAATGTTAAGTAGCACTGATTTGCACAGAGAGAAAAATAAACTGTGAGATTTGTAAAGCACATGTCTCTGTTTCCAGTGCTCATTTCTACATTGGTTTTCCCACCTCCTTTGAATCTGAGGTTGGGATTTATTTGGGCTCAGTAATTAAGGAGGT